CACACGCTCTTGTTTCCTTCATCGTGAACCAGCCACCAGAGGCACGACACGTGGCATATTCCCCCCCCCCCTTTCCCGTCCCGATAATATATCCGTGATGGTACGCAGTACGCAGGGTCCTGAAAACAGGGTTACTCGCAAGTGCCAAGTGCGCGTTGCTTCTGATGCTTATTGTGCGCTGAGCTCGGGACTCCTGGTAACTTCCTCTTCTTGGTTTTCGATACCATGGCCTGAGGACCGGTCCTGTATTCCACCGAACCTCTGTTAGCGCTTCTCCCTCGAGATTTTGTGACGTGTGCACTTGTTGGAAGATTCGGCGATTATCACGAGCTAGTCCGTCATCATGGTGAGTAAATCACCTTTCGTCGCGCTGGTGAAACAAATGCAACATTCCTCCCTCTCAAGGTCGTAGTTTCCATGCCCTTATTTTACCAGTGTAGTCACGTGTCCTCGTGCAGGTCCGGTGTGCTTGGCGCGCTGGTAACCGCGATACCTGTGGGACAGGCGTATAGTTGTTGCGAAAGTACCTTGTCTCGAAAGAACTGTGGCATTGGGGCTTCGGGACCACTTTTCCTAAGATTTCTGTTAGAAATCTTGAAAATGAACTCAACCGGAAGTGCCGGACACTTGGTCCCACACACCCGTACGCCGGGGGGTACAAGTTCAAGTTCATTTATTTAATGATTAAGGGGAGGTTCTACTGAAAATCTTGCTTTCTTCAAATTGAGTTCCATTACCAATATTCATTGTAAATTTAAGTATTTCATAGTAAACAGTTAAAGTGTGGAGAGCAATACCTAGCCCTAAATCCAGTCGAAGAGCAATTCTCTGCTATTTCCAGTCGTAACTTGAAAAATTCTCCTACGCAAAGTATTTCAACGTAAACTGATGTTCTGGGCATTTTTCACTTCTTTGGTTCACAATTCATAAACCGTGGCATTAGTAAGACACTGGGACCATAACGAAATCATAAGCTGTGTTTTTAAGAAAGCATGTCAATAAAATTACAAGAAAATGGTAAAAATCCCGATATTTTAGTGTCTTTTTTTCTGAAAAGCAATGTCAAAATTAATTTGTTGGGTCCCATGTCTTGGTGATGCCACGCTTTATTGCATATGAGCCAAAGAAGTGAAAAATGTCCAGATCATCAGTTTATGTTGAAATACTTTGCGTAGGAGAATTTTTTAAGATATTGCTAAAAAAGGCTGAAAAAACCTCTTCGACTGGATTTGGAGGGAGGTATTGGGCTCTAAATTTCATTTTTGACTATTAACTATGTAGTACTATGTGCAACAAATGTTTACACTGGGGCTCAATTTGAAAAATGCAATATTTTCAGTAGAACCTCCCCTTAAGTGTGCTGATGTACAGACACAAGATTAGACCTAATTGATATCTCATCAAGAGGAAAAGAAAAATATTTTTCTTATTCAGCGGGACAGGTTTTTAAGTTCATCTAAAGTGGACTGCTGAAGACCTTCTCCAATATCTGTAAATTGTGAGTAGTAAAAGAGGTGCCATCAAGATGGCAGGCAGAGGACACCACTCAGAAAGTCGAAGGCAGCTGGTGAGATCATTCTCAAATGCAGACAAGGTCCAGTTTCTTGTTAAAAATCTAATAACTTACCCGTGCATCTGATTTTTTCTGAGTACTTTTTCGCTCTTTCCCAATTGGACGTTTGTTTCGTCGCTTTGAAACCTTGATGTCAGGAGATGACTTTGGCTGATGAGGGGAAAAACGGAGTAGAAGCTTTTAAAATCTCTGGACAATATGAATAAAAATAGATTATATTTTTAAGAAATCAGTGTCAAAGGAATGCCTTACCTCTTCATTTTATTCCTCTTCACCTCTTTCATCAGTTACAATATCACCTTCAGACGGCAAGTTTTAAGTGATTTCTGAGAGAGCCCATCACTCTGAGAAAAAATGACGGTAAATCCTGGATAATTTTTTTGCCAAACTTTGCCGTACTTCAAAAACCAGTATCCACCGTACAGTCTACAGTATTTTCCGTACTTGTTTTACAAAATATTCCGTAGTTTTTTAACAGTCGTTACCGTTCTTTCGGACAGTGCATCCCGTAGGAAAGACCAGATCTGGTCCCAACAAAGGCCGCTCCCAAGAATTGTCCATATCAGGATCTTGAAAAAAGGGGGTCGACCGACTGAAAAATTTTATTGCACCTTTCGATAGGTCTCGTCAAGACCTTTTCAACGAGTGGTCGGAAGGGGGGTCCAGGAGTCCGACTTCAGCAGTTATGTACATCAGAATCTTGAAAAGCGAGGGTCGACCGACTGAAATAAATTATAGCAGTTTTTGATAGGTATTAAAAGTACGGGATTGCCGGGTAAAAAGTACGGGATTCCTTGTAAAAAAAGTACGGTGTTGCCTGTTAAAAAAGAACGGTATTGCCTGTAAAAAAACGACGGTTTTGCCTGTGAAAAAAAGTACGGTGAAGTCTGGAGTAATCAGTACAGGATTTACCGTGATCTTTTCTCGCAGTGCAGTCTATATCGGCTCCATATCCTCAGATAATATTCCTTTTCCTTAAGACTGTCAACTAGGACAGAAACTAGGTGCTCGTTACACCCAACGTGAGGCCAGTGGTCATTTTGTTTTAGTTATGGTCGATTTCAGCTGGTTCTTTTTTTTTCATATTTATGCCGATATTTCTGTGACGCCATCTTCGATTGAGTCCATATTATACATTCATGGACCTTACTTATGCACCTGTCTGTGTTCTGTTAAAAGTTTGGCTGCTCCTTTTCCAATTCGTATTTCTTATCCCCACGTTTCCTCCAAATAAAGATGTTTCGTTTTTTTGTTTTGTTTTTTTTAATTTTTGGTAGGCTTTTGTTATTAGTGGGCACCTGGGGTAACCAAACTGTCGTTCATGACCTTCTTTTATGTTTTTAAAAGTAATTTTGTCAATTAAAAATCATAAAATAATTTTTTTCGCATTTTTGGATTGTTTGTTACACTGTTTGTTGGGGTGGAGTTATTCTCAATACCATAAACTAGAATCTCATTGTAAAGCACCGGACTCGTAATTTCCCTTTCTTTTGTTTGCTCTAAGTCATTGAAATGTCAATGGGGATGTTGCAGGCCGACATGCCGCCGCTGCCGGACCACGTCCTGGTCATGGTGTTCCAATATCTGGACAACGCGTCTCTGCTGTCGGCGCGCGGCGTTTGCAGGCGCTGGCGCGACCTGGCGCTGAGCCGCGCGGTGTGGCGCCACCGCTTCCTGCTGGTCTGGAGCGTGGCCGGCGAGGCCAGCGACGACGACCGCGTGCGGTATGTGATAAAGCAGGGCGCGGGCTGCCTGCAGCGCGCGCTGCGGCTGGCGCCGTGCCTGTCCGAACTCCACCTCAACCGGAGCACCGTTGGGCTGCTGCCCCTGCGGCACGTGAAGTGCGCCGTGAGCCACGTGCACGTGTGGAGCCTGGACACCGAGGACGTGGCCCGCACCATGACCGCCCTGCAGGGCCTGCTCTCGGCAGGCTGCCAAGACCTTTTTCTGCGGAACCTACTAGAAGCGGACCTCCCAGCGCTCAGGCTGTTCCTCAGGGCCATCCGGGACGCGGACCTGACCACGCTGGACCTCGGATTCAGCAGAGGGTACCGACCCGTGGGGAGTGCCGAGCCGTTGGTGATCCGCGGCAGCAACCGTGCCACCCTCCAGACGCTGCGGTACTCGTTCGAAGGACGCGCGCCGACTGCCCCAGGTGAGAATAGGCGTTTCAGAGGCCAATTTAAGTTTTCATGTGCACGACAAAAACGGATCCTGGCTTTCCCAGGCGGCAGCCTCTAGTTAAGGTGAGGTCATGAGAGAAGGGCGCCCTTCTCTCATGGTGAGGTGTAGGTGAACATTGGTACCAAAGTTGATTAAAATGATAAATTTAATTCACTTGTTATTTAAATGTACAATATTCTTCTATTACCGACAGCATGTCCTGTGTTATGTCTGAAATCACAAAGAAATCACTTCTCTTATGACATGTCGATATGTTTCTTACGTCATTTCGGCCTAGAAAGTCTCTTGATACAGGGCTTTTTACTGGTAAATTTGACACTGAAAACGTAATGGTCGGACACATGGTCAAAATTATGGCGTGACAACAAGTCACGCCAAAAATTGGCGTGACACGAAATTCACGCCGAAAACCGGCGTGACATGTGAGTCACGCCCTCATTTGGCGTGAATGGCAACGAGTTTTATGATACAAGTCATGCCAAAAAGCGGCATGACAAGAAATTCACGCCAAAAATTGGCGTGAATTTTTGAGTCACGCCGATTTTTGGCGTGACTTTTATGTCATGCCGTTTATTGGCGTGACACTTTATTCACGCCCCTGCAGCGGCACGAAGTCACGCCGGTAGATTTTCAGTGGATTTTGTGACTCGACAAAATCCCCATTAACATTCTCTAACCTGGGCCTGCAGGTCGCGAGCTTTGGCCTTCCAGCCTGTTGGCACTGGAGAACTTGCTGGTGAACCACTCCGCCACCTTGACGTGCCTCCACCTGCAAGACGTGGGGCCGTACTTCCCCGTGGCGCTCCTCACCGGCTGCCCGAACCTCCGGGAGCTCAAGTGCCCGCCCCTGCTGGGCCTGGCCGCCCTGCTGCAGTGCAGGGGCCTGGAGTGCCTGCGGCTGGTCGTGGAGCGCGGCCCGCTGGAGCGGCCGGCGGTGCTGCAGTCGGCCCGAGACTTCTTCTCTGGAGCCACCAACCTGCGGTCCCTGGAACTTGTGTTCGGCCCGAGTAACGACGGCTCTGCGGACGTGAGCTTGTCTCTGCTGACGGCCCTCGGCCGCGCGCAGCCGCGCCTCGAGACGCTGTCCGTGGTCAACTTGTGCAACGCGTTCGATCTCCCCACGAGGGTCGTGGACTACCGCCGCCTCGGCGCGCTGCTGCCTGCCTTCCCGCGGCTGACGACCGTCGGGCTGCGCGGCCTCGGCCGGGCCTGCCGCTGCTGGCCGGACCTGGAGCGCTTCTTGGCCGCCGTCTCGCCCGCCACCGCCCCGCGCTTGCGGCTGCTCGAGCTGGACGGGCTGGCCCTCTGCCCCGGCGACGCGGGCTGCGACTGGCCGATGTTCCCCGACCCCGAGGACAGCACCGGGCGGTACGTGAAGGGACATGCACACTACTCGGTACAAACGGTACCTGTTTTTCCTAGGAAGCCTATGGTAGAGACGTAGGCGATTTCCAGGGAGTTCCTGGGAAAACCAGGAACCGTTTTTACTGTGTAGTTATTTAACCGGTACGCACGCTTTAAACTTTACGAAGTATATCGAGCATATGTAAGGTATGAACTAGTTTGTCTGTAATACAAAGAAATAGTTTGTAAATTGTTCCAGAAAGCGAGTGAAAGAAGGGAATAACTCCATTTTGCCCATTTCTCAGGAGGAACAAAAGACTGTGAGGTGAGCAGGAGAAACTAAAATTAATCAATTGAATGTTATGAACGATAATAAGTTCAAGAAGCATAAGTTTAAATATTTAGCTAAACATCACAAGATTCAGGTCACTCCTTAGAGGATTTTTGTGACTTATCGCTTTCCGTTGAAATGGAAAATGGAGTCATCTAAAACTTTAGTTCCTAGACCAAGTGGAATTTGGAGACCACACTGGGAAAAAAAGGGCTCTAAATAAACAACACTTATGCTGTTAAGTTTGATAGCAACACGGCTTGTTTTATTACAAGCATGTTGTAGCCCTCGGTGCTGTTTTCTTACAGTTTGATTGTTATAAAACAATACTTCTTTGGAGTCTTCGATGATGTCTTCGCAACATTTGTGTTGATCTCATCGTGCTGTTATTAAACAAGACCCTTGTAACCTGACAACAATATATGTTCTAAGATTGCACTAAGTCTGTTTCAAAACATGAAACCTGTTCAACGACAACACAACTGTTTTGAATCACGAACACATTTTTGTTACTTGACAAGGAACTTGTTATGAAATAAAAGTGTTGTTTCCGGATGGGTTTCCCGTTCAGACACAAAACAATACTGTTGTAATTTAACAGCATTACTGTATGTGACTGTGTTGTAATATTATAGCGGATTTTTAATAGTGCAGTGAAGAGGAACTATAGGCAAACATAAAGTGTTTGTTATTTCGAAGTATTCGTTGAACTTAGCCCTTTTTTCTAGTTAGGTTTTTAAAATGAAGGGGGTTAAGTTGACTTGAGTCTTTTTACACTGGATCCCTGAAAACACAATTTGAGTTTTCTCATATCGACAATATTTTCAAGGGGGTCTTGTTGACTTTGGCTGAGTTGTTTCCATTTCCTGATAAAATGAGATCGTAAAAGGGGCCAAGGTTGAGTTGTATTCTTTTACCATCTGGATTTTCTCCTTCTCTGCTCGAAATTCAGTCAAATAATTTAGTGCAATGATGCGAATCATTTTAAGCCACAATAATAGATTTAAAAATTTCAAATTGGAGATAAGTCATGTTATTTCCTTCTTCAACTATCCTGGATCAATTGCGAACTATTTCCTTTGCAAGTGTACACATGCTCAAATTAATTTGTTGAATGAAGCTACTTTACTTCTTAAGTTTTAAATACACTGCAAACTAAAGTGTGTACATAGTACACTCTTATTAGAGTATACTTCCAAGCACACTCTTATTTACAGCATGCTTGCTAGGCACACATCAAACTAGAGTGTGCCTGGCATGTACACGCTAAATAAGAGTGTGCCTGGCAAGTTGCCCATGCTTTTAGGTAGGACTAATCTAGCGTATTTTAGCGTGTTCTTGCCAGGTACACTCTTATTTAGCGTGTACATGCTAGGTACACTCTACTTTAGCGTGTGCCTAGCAAGTATGCTGTAAGAGTGTGCTTGGAAGCATGCTTTGATAAGATTGTACTATGTACGCACTTCAGTTTGCAGAGTAGCTTGAAAGGTTTTCAGAGTGTGAAAACGTACGCTGATTTTTTTTGTTGTAATTTTACAACAGTACAATTTGTATCCGCCGGTATCCGCTGTGTCAAAAAGCTACAGAAAATCCTGTTAATTTTATTGCCAATGTTCTCCGTAGCTCTTTTGTTAATATTCTCCGTAGACCTCACTTGTCAATATTCTCTAGCACGGGAGTTCCGTACCCTTTTCTGTACCAAATTACGGATTTTTATTTTCAGGGTACTGGGTTTAAATTTTAGTCTGAATCGCCGGTAATTTTCTGTCCTCAGGTACGTGGCGGACCTCCGCGCTGTGCTGCGCTCCAACCCCAAGCTGCACGTGGCCGGGCCGAGGGTCTGCGACGAGTGCCGCCAGAACGGCTGCTTTCGCAAGCTGCAGTGCGCCTCGTGCTGGGTCGACGGCCGCCAGGTCCCGGTGCGCAGGCGGGACTACCCAGGCAGCAGTGTCGGCCTCTTCGGGCTCTACAGCCACGACAGCGACGAGCCGTGTGACTTGCACACCGGACGCAGAGTGTGGGCCAAGCTGGAAGAGCCACACGAAGATGGACAACTTTAGATAGACTTGTCCCCTTTTGCTAAGTAACCACATCCGTTAGATGACCTCTTCACTTATGTGGACACCTTAAATACAAGGACACATGATTGTTTTCCAAGAAATTCACTTATTTTTAATGTTTTTCTTCTTTTTATTTGAACGACAAAATCTGCCTGAGACAATAATTTCTTTTGCGACGTGTCATGGCTGATGCAGAAAGCTAACCTTTTTTTTTGATGTCGTACTTGCAGATTGCTTTGTACCCAGTCTTTTACCAGCTGGTAAATTGTAATGCTTTGACTGATTTACTTGTAAGTCTGTAACCATCATTTTTGACTAGCTGTGCATATGTGACTAATGTAGGCCAGAGCCGTACATTGGGCCGTACAATGTACAGCTCTGATGTTGGCCAGTGGGATGTGCAGGGCTTCGTGTTAATTGTTCGAGTTGGAATCAATTATGTTGACACATTTTTCGTAAAATAAAGCAGAAATTGCTTTTTTCTGAATTTGTAAGCGAGCCTCACTTTAATTTAAACCTTAGCATGCTTCTAGATCACAGTAACAGACTGGAAATAATGACGGTTTCCCTCAACATTTTTACCGAAACCTGCATTATGTTATGTTCAAGATGAAAATATGAAAATAAATTTTAGACGAAGTTGAACCATGAAATGCGGAATGTTTTAACTAAAACTTCGTACAGGGACTCCAGCATTTGGTCTCCTCTGGACCCTTTACGTGATTTGCAGGGACAATACAAGCTGAATAATTACTTTGCCAAAAACACACTTTTGTGTAATTTTTCTGTTATACAACAAGATTTAATGTTTGCCTAGTGCTCAGCTGTGAAAGTGTACATACCTACTGGAGCGTGCTTGGACAACCTCACATCTTTAGGATAAAAGGGGGCGATGAAGGGTAGCAAAAGATACTACAGAAAAAGTAAGTAAATTTTGTTTGCTGCGATTCTCTGTATCCTTAGTCTTAAAAGCTTGCAAAGAAAAGTACTTCGCCTGGCTTTGCATTATGAACTCCTCTGCGAACTTTTTTCTCCGCTTTCCAAAGAAATAGTTTGGAACGTTGCGAAGCATTTTATTTTCAAGTTGCAAAGTAATACTTAACAATGCAATCAAATTAGTTTTTAAAGGGTGACCCTGGTGAAACTTTCAAGTAGGTTTTAAAATAATCCCAGAAAGTTGAAACTTTGCTGAAATACTAGGTCTTTATGGTGGGTTCCCGAAACAAAATTCAAACGAACTGTTAAATGGTCTCTGAGAAAAGTGTGACTTCAGTGTTTTTTAAGGGAGTTATAGGGAACATTTTTTGGGGTTAACCTATAGATGTATAGAAGAGATTTTCGTGACGGAAATTTCAAATTCAACTCTGTTCTTGGATACAAATTTTCACATTTTAACATGTCTAAATAGTGAGTTTTTTACTTATTTTTCAAACTTTTTTTTGTTTTTTAAATGTGTCAAGATTACGTCACTAAAATTTGTTGTAAAGTCATCAAAGAATTGAGTCCATGCAAGACAACTCGTATGTGTCAACCAGGAATGCCGGAAGTTTTTCTACGACAAAAATTTTTGTTGACTGAGTAAAGCTGTGAAGGTTGAGCGTATTAGCCAACAACAACTGGTCTTAATGTTATTTCTTTCCAAATGATAAAGAAGCTACCCACCTGGCTTAAAGGTGCTTAATCTATTGAATCTGAAACCTTCTATGCACATTTTGTCAATGATCTTTAAAAATGTTTTTGGCAATTTTGGAACATGTAATTTTACATCAGTACAATTTGTATCCGCTGTGTCAAAAAGCTACAGAAAATCCTGTTAATTTTATTGCCAATGTTCTCTGTAGCTCTTTTGTTAATATTCTCCGCAGGCGCAGGAATGTAGGGTCCTAGGTACGGACAGGGGGTGGCAACGGCGTAGGGAGAGCGTGAAGCGATGCTCGCGCCGTCAGAGCAGAGGTTGCGCACTTCTTCGAGATCATGAAAACTACACTGGCGGAAAAAATTAAGGGGACACTTTTTCAAAGTGACCTCAAATCTCGAGTTTCAGAGCTAGAGGGCTGCAACTTTGACACAAGTTGCCTTCAAGTGTCCTAAAAAGGCGTGCAAAGTTGCACTGACGAGGTTGGACCGGGAGGGGGTGATTCACCCCCAGCAAATTTGAAGTGCAAAAAAACGCAACTTTAGAAGCGACCAGCCTGGCTCTCGGGGGTCAAAAGAATCGGAAAACGGTACAGAGCGATTGCCCTTGACGTCCTCTACAAAATGCGACCCCCGGGAGACCTCTACGACAAACCCACCCCCTACAACCCCCACCCCCCTTCAAAATCCACATTTCTTGAGGTACAGCCCTGAGATCGGGCTGGCGTCATCCTCTTGGTCACCCTGATCAAGAGGATACCGCGTCTGAGCCTGTGCACCCCGTTGTCACCCTCGGAGAGGCCGAAGCACTTCACCCCCCTTTCAACCCCCTGTGATTTGAGGAATTTCTGCTTTTCGGATGGGGGTGAAACTCACCAGGGTTTTGGTAGACGTGACCCTGAACAGCGTCGAAAAGGTCCCATGTCGATAGCTGCCCTTGGAACCACGCAAAGACACCCCCAAGTTAGGGGTGCACAACCCCCAAGCGGAGGGGTTGAAAACAGCCGCGCCGCTGGGTGGGCCTTCCAGACAGCCAAAGCCATCGGGTACATGCTGTTTAGCCCTTGAATTAAGGTCTCTTCACAATTTTTAGCCTAAAAGCTGTGTTTCGACGAAAAAACAACCCCTGTGTTTGCGCCCTTGTAGGGGCTGAATCAGCAGGGCTACGGCCATGCCGACCGCGGCATTGGATGCGCCAAGGCCTCCTTGTCAGACACCTAAAAATTCAGAATTTTCCAATCACGCGTTTCCAGACAGTTAGCGCAAGTTTCGAACTCCTGCTCACCGCCCTGCCGGGAAACGCTCTCAAAAGGTAGGCAACCCATCGGGCTTCGATTTCAGTTTTTCCGCTTTTTTCATGATTTAGCTGGTCAGATTGGTTCAGCTTGTGTTTGTGATCAATCTCTAACCCAGCAAATCGAATCCGACCCGCTGAATCATGAAAAAAGCGGAAAAACTGAAATCGAAGCCCGATGGGTTGCCTACCTTTTGAGAGCGTTTCCCGGCAGGGCGGTGAGCTGGAGTTCGAAACTTGCGCTAACTGTCTGGAAACGCGTGATTGGAAAATTCTGAATTTTTAGGTGTCTGACTAGGAGGCCTTGGCGCATCCAATGCCGCGGTCGGCATGGCCGTAGCCCTGCTGATTCAGCCCCTACAAGGGCGCAAACACAGGGGTTGTTTTTTCGTCGAAACACAGCTTTTAGGCTAAAAATTGTGAAGAGACCTTAATTCAAGGGCTAAACAGCATGTACCCGATGGCTTTGGCTGTCTGGAAGGCCCACCCAGCGGCGCGGCTGTTTTCAACCCCTCCGCTTGGGGGTTGTGCACCCCTAACTTGGGGGTGTCTTTGCGTGGTTCCAAGGGCAGCTATCGACATGGGACCTTTTCGACGCTGTTCAGGGTCACGTCTACCAAAACCCTGGTGAGTTTCACCCCCATCCGAAAAGCAGAAATTCCTCAAATCACAGGGGGTTGAAAGGGGGTGAAGTGTTTCGGCCTCTCCGAGGGTGACAACGGGGTGCACAGGCTCAGACGCGGTATCCTCTTGATCAGGGTGACCAAGAGGATGACGCCAGCCCGATCTCAGGGCTGTACCTCAAGAAATGTGGATTTTGAAGGGGGGTGGGGGTTGTAGGGGGTGGGTTTGTCGTAGAGGTCTCCCGGGGGTCGCATTTTGTAGAGGACGTCAAGGGCAATCGCTCTGTACCGTTTCCGATTCTTTTGACCCCCGAGAGCCAGGCTGGTCGCTTCTAAAGTTGCGTTTTTTTGCACTTCAAATTTGCTGGGGGTGAATCACCCCCTCCCGGTCCAACCTCGTCAGTGCAACGTTGCACGCGTTTTCAGGACACTTGAAGGCAACTTGTGTCAAAGTTGCAGCCTTCTAGCTCTGAAACTCGAGATTTGAGGTCACTTTGAAAAAGTGTCCCCTTAATTTTTTCCGCCAGTGTAGACAGTGTTTTTCAAAACGCTTTGCACCAATGGAAAGGGCTTGAAATTTAGGGTGCATTAGGCTTATTGCTCTTCTCGAAACTCCCCCTGACTTTATGTTAAGGTGCAGTGAAAACACCGAAAAACACGAAAAATCATAAAATTCAGGAAAAACTCGAATGCGCCATGTTAATGTAAATGATTCCGCCCTTGTGTTCGGTTGAATTGGAAGTTTCGGGCAGTCTACTAGGCCTAATGCACCTTAAATTTTGTACTCTTTTGATCTGCACAAAGCGTTTTGCAATCAACGGGCTACATCTTCCAATCGAAGCAAAATAAGTAACCCCTGCACCTCCCTCGCGCATGGCTTCACGCGCTTCCTAGGCCGTTGCCGCCCCCTGGTACGGAGACCTAGCAAAAGTTGTACATGAATTTCTCCTATATCAACTATATATATATATATATATATATATATATATATATATATATATATATATATATATATATATATAATATATGATTGTCTATGATTTCTCCGTGCACTGTGGCAATAATTTACGGTAATTATTGCACTTATAATGCAATAACTTTTTCATGGCGCTACTAATGCAATAAAGATGTTATTGCTTTTAAAATTGGAATGCATGATATACTTTTCAGTTCGTTTTATTTGTTTATTATTTTTAACTTGGATTGAGTCTCAGTGGCCGTGCGGTCTGATGACGTCGGCGACGTGCTCGCGCGCGTTGTTGACTCCGTCAACCACCTTGTCGGCAGCGTTCTTCACCCCTCCGGTAACCTTGCCGACTGTGCTCGTCACCCCGCCGACGACCGTATGTTTGGCCTTGCTCAGACCGTGCCTGATGGCCGCCGCGTCGTGCCTGAAGAAGCCCTCAGCCAAGGCGCACATCTGCAACAGCAACAATCGCGGCCTTAGGCATCCATCTTTAGAGTGAGAGTAGGGTCCAGTTGAAAAAAGTATGCGCAGCATCGCACTCTGAAAACTCTACGAACTATTTCAGACAGAAAAGTAGCTTGGTATAACAAATTAGTTTGTGCCTACATGGGCTGAAAAAGCAAATACTTAGTGATTTGCGAACTGTTGTTCTCTGGAAAAGTTGTTTTGACATGCTAACAGCAAATTTTCGGTTTTAATTGGGCAATTGAACTAAATATTAACAAAATATGATCCGTAACCAAACAATCTTCTTCTTTCGTTGAAAGGGAACCAAGCATTGTCGAAAGTGATGAAAATCTCGACCTCACATTTTCTAACTCGTAGAATCCTTAAGGGCATTAAGGACTCTACTAACTCGATGGCCGAAAATGACCTCTACACAGAAAATATGTGTATTTTACCCCGTTTGTAGGTTTATAAAGATTCGGGGAAGGTGCGGGTATGTATCTTGGCACCAACTTTGGGTTGCATTCT